TGCTAACCAGATTCCACGTCATCAGCGCCATGGCCACAACATTAACTCATGGCCTTCTCTTTTGTACACACATGGCGGGTCAGCTTTTGACAGCGGTGCTATTACAGGACTGAGAAGTACCCAGTCTCTAGGTGGTCACTGGATATAGCCAAAAGACTGAAAAACTTCATTGGAGCATGCGGTAAACATTCCACAGCAATGCCTTGAATCATCAGAGAGACTTTTAAATCACGAGTTATTCCACATGTAAGTACACAAACACACATAGATCACACAGATTCAAACAAAAAAGTAGCATAAATAGGCATGCATAACTGCCAGATTTCAGAATAAATGCATTTTAATTGATTTTATGCATACAGCTAAGCTAAGTGTTCTTGCTGGGCGATAGATGAGACTCACTGACATCGTCATGTCTGCCCTTTACATTAAATATGGTGGATCCATGTGCAGGCAGACCCATTCTCAATTTGGAGCCACATGCACTGGATCCTGCTGCTGAGATACGGCAGAAAAAGAGATTTGTTGTATGAAAGCTGACAAAAAGAATAGGTATCGTTTGTGCAACAACCAAACCAACCCTTTTCAAGCCTAAGTGCTGAAGTTTGAAAACAATCCTGCTTTTTTTGGCATTGCCGTCTAGTCAAAAAACAACAAGAAGTAAAATAGGATCAAGTGATGAGGGAGAGGTAAGGGTCGGCATAAATTTTAATTTAGATAACCACGATTTCCCCAGTATAAGTCCATTAATGCATGCATAAATGTCTCCCCAAGGACGCACACAAAAACACACAACCACTGTGTAAACTGTGCACCCTGTCCGCAAACATACACACACGACAAGTCTTGAGATAAGCTGACCGGTGGTAATTGTGGTCTCCATTACAGTAAACGCTGTTCTGTAAACCACAGTAAATTACATCCAGATGGGAGATTAAAGCTAGCTGAGTAGACAGCTGCCCTGAGCACAACCACTCCTCCTCCTCTGTTGGAGGAAGGAGAACTCCATATTTCCTGATTGCGATTGCAACTCTCCCCTGGGCTAGGACATTACAACCAGGGAGAAGTACCACAACAACACAGAGGGGCAGTCAGCAGGTCACCACCACTGCAGGGACTCCCGTGCAGACATCTGATCTACACAGGAAGATGTGCTAAGCGTAAGACAGAGTAAGCCACGGCGGGAAGGGAGCAGTCGACTTAATGTTTGATTATACATTTGCTCTTTGCTCTGACTTGAACACAAACACATGCGTGCGGTACAGATGGCCAGTCTCAAGTATTGTTTTGGTGCGGAGGGTGATTTAAAGGAAACACCTGTGTGGCGTCATGTCCTTATGAATACAAAAGCAGAAGCTGAGGCTCACTGCCTTTAGAGGCACAGAAACACGGTGTACCGATGAAGTGATGATCTTCATCAGAACTCTGGCAATAACACATGGGTTAGGCATAATTTCCCCATATCTGTTATACAATTTAAAAAGTCACTCAAAGAATTTCATAATTGCATTTCAGTGAGGCATATAATCCTCAACCTTTGCTATTTTTTTCCACAGCTTCATCATAACATAATCACAAAAATATTTTTTCAGAAGTTGACCAAAATTGTGAGCTGTGCACATGTCCAAATCTTCAGGACATGAGTTATTTCACCTGGAAATGCTGCCAAATGCCATTCAGGTTTGGTTCTGTTTATGCAAGTGTAAAGTGTAGAAGTAAATTTAAATCTATTTTGATATACAAAGAGGTGTTTACAAAGGTTATAAAGCTAGTTATGTAGCTATTTGGTGGTTACGTGTTTTGATATTTACATGTTTACATGTTTGAATGTTTAGACATGCATGTTCAAACCAGTAATAAGTATGTGTTATATCTACCTGGTTGTTTTCCCTGTTTTGATCTGAGTATAAGATTTCCTGGCTTCTGAGAGGCCAGTGAAGTATTCATGAGGGCGGCACACAGGAAGTGTGGGTTGTTGTTGCAGGGTGCTAAAAGTAAAGAGGCTGCTAAAAAGTTATCCGTCTCCGTCTTGCTGTTCCTAATTATTCAGAGAGATTCCCAACCATCTAGTGAACCCTCACGTTACACAAGCATGAAATACAATCACTACGATCACTAAGAGATCGGCTTTGTACGGAGAGCATTCCAGTGGTTTTGATCTAACTCAGGGATAGCTGTCAAATGAGCAGGAGGCAACAGGTATTTAAAAGCAATGTATAGGCAGGTTTCACAGTAGTCCTACTACTGTAACTTCAGGTTAAAACACACACTGTACTGTACATGCAGGTCTGCCAATAATACAGTAAATAGACGACTGCTTTGTCCCAAGAAATACACTGTACAAAATAACAAGAGATTTGGCTAAAACCAATAATCTTTTCCATATACAGTACTTCCCATAAAGTAATATTAGGTTTACTGAACTCTGTTTGTAGTTCATGTGTAAAACACCTGGTGGATGGCATGGAGCTTGTACTGTATTTCATAAAAGGGTGACAAAGCGGCCACTATTGTTGAGAAGGGAAACCCAGGTGCTTCCACCCTCAGTGACAAGCCACAAAGCTTGGAAGTTTGACCTGCTCATTTCAATGGGAATCAACATCAGCAGAATACACCTACTGTTACAGTGTTGATTTATGATAAAAAAAATACTATTTACATACATCTTTTTATACTACGCTGTTTCCATTTTCTCCGATGACACCATGTCACCATGCTTCTAACATAACACACCAGTGTTAGTGATAAAAGTTATCACACCACTGATTTGCAGCATGGGATTACTACAAGGAATAGCGAGAGGTGGAGAGATGGGTGTAGCTAGGCTTTCGCTGCGAATCACAGCCATCTGTCTTTAGTCATCTTATCCCTTTTTATGGAACATAGCGAGATAGCAGAACACAGCCTTTAATCCAGCCAATCTTTTCCTCTTCACTGGTTCTTTATATCTCTTCTGTCTTATAACAATTACCCAAGAACACTGGGGAAAACACTCCTTCTTTTAACTTGCTGTGAACTACTGATATATGCAGTAATGATAGACTCGCCCTCTGTATGTGACACACATTCACACACACACAGACTACACTATAAATCTCATGCAGGACGGTATTAAACAGTTGAAGTCAACTCCAGCTTCTCTGCTGTCCACAGCTGTAATTGACCACATGATTCACAGCTGTGACAGTTAGGAAAGCTAATCATTATTAAATTATTGGTCTGCGATTCCCAGACACATGTCTAGTGTCTGTATTTCCAGACATAACTTGGTGTGTGAACTTGTGAAAAGAGCTGCTGGTTTGAGTTGAATTGTATTGAAGCAGGAAAACAAAGAAAACGTTTAAATTTACAAATGATCAGTAAATGCAAATAAGTTTTCAGCAACTGCAGGGATCCCGAGGTCAAATCTTCACATACTGTATGACATCTAATTGGTCAGGTTAGATGTTTGATCTGTTACATTGGCCATCAGTCTTTGGGTGCAGCAGAGGGCATCTAACCTGCTACACACTGAGGCCCCTGGATTTTGTCACTCCTGTTTTGACTAACCGGGCCATGAGCTGATTATGAGGATTAGAGGAAATGTGGTAAACTCATGCCTCTCCCACTCACTCTCAACTTAAGCAACAGCTGCAAAGTCTCTGGGTTTGGGAATCTGGTGGGACATGGAGTTTTTTTCCAACCCTGAGAGCCTGGCTGAGTCAGCGAGTAGTACCTCTATGTGAGGCCTGCAGCTTTGCAAAGGGGAAGGGGGTGTTACTTGATTCAACAGGAAAGCAGCAGAGTATGAAGTGTGACACTGGCAGTGAATGGACAAGAGAATTGCCTGGTTTTGCATTAAACATAAAAGCCATCAGAGACAGCTGAAAGTCCCCAGCCACCTTGGAAGGAAATCAGAGACTGAATAGGTTCAAGGGCTGAAGCATACGGTGGCACAAGTCCGAATGTTCAATGACACATCTTCTTACAGGTATTTCTGGCACAACACAGGCCTCTGAATGACTCCTCACTCCAATTTCACCGTTTCCCCTGTTCTGACAGACTTTCATTAAGAGAATAACAGGCGACGCCAGACAACAGAACAGACCAGCTTTGTAGGCCGATTTAACTCCTGACACTGATACGGCTTCCCTGAAATTATGCTTTTAATTGAATTCCACATGCTCACACTGGTTCATCTTCATTACTGTTATTCTTGGCATAAAGCAGTTAAAGAATGCTGCCTTCTCTTCGTGTCCTTCTAAGAAAGCACAAGAAGGGAAAGCTGCAGGTGCCTGCAAGCTTAACATGATCCAGTTTTACTAAATACACTTTCAGACTATAAGCAGCTCCAGGATCTGCTACATCTACTACCTGGAAAGAAACACAGCAATCTCCCATTTAGAGAACATATCACCAACATGACGACCAGAGTGCTCCCCTTGATGGAAATTTATACCGAAAAAAAGATCCCACCATAGCCTACAAGAGTGGGAATATAACATAATCCATGTCTGTGAACCTAGCTTTTAAAGTATGATGCGGCTGTAATTATGAGCTTAGCAAGCTTTGCAAAGTATAACAGTGAGTCACCTTGCATCATTTGCTCCACAGAGAGTGATGCAGTTTGTCACGTTTCATCTTATGAATGAGGGGTGCCCGATGGCGCTCATTCAAAGCAGCATGAGAAAGAACAATAGATCATTATCACTTGACTGGCTTCTGATGACTCGAGCGTTTCATATGTAGGTTACACTTTGAACTTAAACGAGGCTATTAGCAGACCTAACAATAGGCGCTTTATTTATCATTCTATAACGAGGTGCATTATTTGCTACTTTGCTGGGTTACTGGTGGACAAAGCAGACACAAAATAAACCGAGCAGCGTGTGAAAATCTCAACCCAAAGTCTCTGTGGTTTCAGTGCAAAGTAGGAGAGGAGGGGGGAGAGTGGGGGAAACAAGCAATCCCCTCATTTTGCTTCTGAGTGTAAAGTTTCACCGAAGCGTGCAACGTCCTACCTGTGCAGGTGAGAACTGCAGATAAAGCGCCACCACAGTCCCGATGACAAAACCCAGTAACATTTCGTGACGTCTGTGCGTGGAGAGTGGCGATGGCTCCCGATGGAGATAGTGGCGGAAAAAAAATCCAACAAAAGTCCCAAAATACTCAGAAACAGAAGCAAACAGAAAAAAAACTCGCTGCCAGGGATTTTCCAAGTCATCTGCTCCCGGTTTAGTAGCGCGGAGAATGAGTGGAGTCACGTAGCTCCGCGCGTGTAACCTGATGAAGTAGATTGTGCTCACTAATGAATAAGGCCCCTCAGGAGAAAGTGGAGGTGACGAGGAGGCAACACAATAATACTTTAACAAAAAAAGGAGAAACTGATAAATATTCACATTTACACACTTTTTGTGTCTCGCTTTCCTTTAATATGAGCTTAAAAACGGATTCTGTGGAAATAAAAGCGTGAACGCCAGATGTGACGACGCATATTCAGTGAGCAGCTTTCAGTCCAAGATCTCCAAGTAAGGAATCCGCTTCAAAAAATCACGCATGAAGTTGTGCCAACAACTTTCAGTTTCCAGTCCTCCTCTGAGCTGCAGTCAGCAGAAAGACAGAGAGAAGCACTTGCGTCTAATTGCTCCGCGCCACCTTTTCACAAGACCGTTTAATCTCCTCCCCTTTTGTCTTGGTCTCTGCCCTGCTGCATCTGTCTACATACAACTTACTGATGACATTTTACAGCTTCCTCCTTTTAGCTGCAACATAAAAAGGTAGTTTATTTAGTTTGTGATGCTGTAGTGCAATTCTAGACTATACACCGCAGGTGATTTAAACTATAGAGCGTACACAGAAACATCCTCCGAGTGCCTGCGACATTCTGTGAGCGCAATTCAGGCTGGGTAAACATTTGGAGATCTTTTAACTGCTGACATGGATGGTAGACTCATTGCTCGTGCACGGAGATTTTCCTCTGAGTCTATTTATTCAAGTTTGCAAAGGCAGAAAAGGGAGATTCCTATTCTGTTGACACACAGGCTTACTCTTCAGTGTGGGACTTCTGTGTTTGCAGAAACACTGGAACGAGAGGATTCCTTGTGGGCTTCCACACATTCCTTCAGCAGTGCTCAATGGCCGCACTGGCTCTGCTATTGAACAGACCACACTCAGGAGTGTGGTGTCTCTAAACATCTTAGACACTTAGACACCCCCCACTCACCAGCTACCGGCTATTCCACAGAATCAGTAAGAGCAAACTATCAAAGCTGATGAAAGACGTTTCACGCTCGTCTTTTCCTGAACTGTATCTCCAGATGGCAATGATGGATGTCTCTTGAAATTCAGGGACATGACAAGAAAAGCAAACATATTCTTCAGGGAACTTGACTCTGCAATTACTTTGTTCTCTGCTGCTTTTAAATGTGCAGTCATTGTCTTGATAGTCAGCGGTTTTTTTTTTTTAAACAATATCGTTTTCAGACTGTCTAATTATCCAAAATATTCTGCAATATTCCAAATGCAGATGTTCAGACGCTGTTTCTCCCTCTTAAGTTGAGAAAGGGATACCTCCAATTTAGAAAAAGTTCTACGTAAGGCTATAATAACAGAGTACAAGAGATGTTCATGCCTTTTTAAAAATGTTTTAGAGAAAAGCTAAGGGTCATAGCATCTCCTCCCTGCTATAGCGCAGGGACAGCATGCATTTTAACAGAAGTCAGAGCGACTCTCACCATCATCTCGCCATCTACTCAGTGATCTATCTGTGTTTTGAAAGGTGCACCAGCTGATAGAACCTAATAAGCTCACTCAAACAGTTTGGACTATAAATACATGCTGATAAGACGAGCAAACAAGGTTTTACTGATAATGTACTCCAGTCCAGTCCAGTGGAGATGGATCTGTCTGCTGTCTGAAAGTGAAACAACTTTGAGGCCCCCGTTGCTTTTGCTGAAACCACAAAGCTTGATAGCGGTAACCACATGTCTCCTCAATTCTGAGATAAACGATGTGATTGGAGAAGATTTAATATTCATTCATTTAAAGATTTATTTTGAAGGGTGGGTGTTTTAAATTATTAATTTGATGAAATTAAGTTTTAAAACTAACTGAGATGCTGTTTTCTTCTTTCTTTGTAGTTAGACTCATGACGATCAAGGAATGAGGCTAAAATGTGAGCTAAACGTCCTCTCTAACTGTGATCTAGCTGCTTGGTTGAAAGAAGGTAGGCTGTTCGAACAAATAAGCCCAAATGTCTTTTGAAATTGTGAGGACCAAATGGGTGGCTCTCAGGAACTGGAGTGCAAAAGCGAATAAGAGTTCCCTGTTGCTGTTGACCCCTCATTTTCCAAGATTGCTGAGTAAAAGTTAAACAGATGAACAACATTAATGATGTCCATTCATCATTGTTGGGGCGACTTTGGTTTCCTCCACAGTGAGGCCTTTAAGGGGAACGCTGAGAGGCAGAGAGCCCCTTACTTTGAAGGATCTCATTAGAGGCCTACAGGGAGACCAATGTTTCTGCTAAAGACAGAAGTTGGTCGCACTGTCACAGTGAATCTTGTGAATTAATTCATCACTCGGTGATCATCTTTGATTTAAATGATGTAACTTAATGTTGCTGTACATGTTGCTGAGTTCATTTCCTGAAAAAGGACGAAGAAGAAAAGAAAAAAGCAGATGCATGAGAGCGGAGAGGACAGCTCCAACAAGAGGATTCTGTGAGATGATGTAACAGGATTTTACTCACGATGGACCACCTGGACGGCAGACCCAAACAGGATATGGTAATATTTGACACTTAAGCTCCCTCTTCCTGTCATTAAATTAGCTGTGACGAACTACGGCTATTTTTTTGCCTGCAACAACTGTATTATTGTAAAGTACGTTTGAACGAAGTGGAAAATAGGAAGTGCTTCAGCTATGAGTAAAAAGCTGCTTACCTTCCCCTAAGGTGATTACTGTTATATCACAACACACTCTTTCATTTCAAACATGTCAAATCCTGTTTACACATCTACGCTACACTGACATATTTGTGTCTCAGGCACGGTCCAAGTTTGTCAGGTGCTTTCCTGTTTTCTTCTCCTGTCTGTTCATGTGTGAGCATTGTTTGATTTTTAGGAAGTCAGTCAACATGTTAACAGACAAATGGGAATTATTTTGGTCTGTATGTCTCATGAACCAGTCACTGCAAAAATCTCCACTAGATGCTGTTTAACTTTATACAGCTGTGTCTTGGACATCACAATGTCAGTTGGCTGTGGCAACCGCGGGCTAAATGAGGATTTAATTCTTGATGTCAGAAGGAAATGTGACTCCATTTGTTCTCACTGATTTATTTTTGGGGCCATTATAGTCAAACATCCAGCATTCAATCAGTCATGAACACAAGCTTTCATTGGCTGCAAGGGTCGTACCAAAAGAGTTGAAAGAATTTAAATGTTTGGAACCGTACTTATTTCTTATAGCTTTCTTTTTTAAAATATAAATATAAATAACACTGCTGATAACACTCTTAGGTCTGTGAGTTGAGTAGACGCTTCAAGTCAATGTGAAGCTAGGAACCGAATAGCCTAAGTAGCAAAAAGTCTTCTGTGGGAATCAAAAAGGAACGAATAAGTGACAATTAGTGGTTTTGCAGGAAGTCCCGTGCTGGATAATCATGGTGGATGGGTAAACATGTTGGTTTACAACTTGGGACAGCTCTTAACTTCCTACAGGAGCCCTGCTCAAAAATGAGCATAGCCTTTGTTCAGGCAGGCCACAAAGCCATGCTCAATCCCAGCTGATGTCACTGCCAATACAAATCCGCTGATGGCTCAGCCGATGTGTTACGAAGCATCCAAATGGCAAATCTCACACAAGGCTTTAGTCTGTCTGTCACAGCTAGTTTACAACTCACCAACATCAAAGTCCTTCTTTTCATACCGTGTCTGACTTAATCAGTCCATTGTCAGTGATGCCTGTACACAAGGTTTTGCTGGTACCCTCCCTGCCTCCAGCTCTCTGAAGAAGCAATGCCCATGCTTTAAAAAATGAATCCAACACATAAATGCTAAAACCTGCAGTTCCTCCACTGGCCACTTGAGGATGGAGTCAAAAGCCAGTCAGTATTCCCAGACATCATCCATCCTCTTCTGCTTATCTGATTCAGGGTCACAGGGAGGGCTGAGTCTATCTCCACTATCACAGGGCAAGAGGCAGGGTAGACTCCAGACAGGTTGCCAATCTGTCGCAGGGCTAACATATAGAGACAGACCATCATTCACACATATGGCTAGTTTAAAATCACCATTTAACCTAACCCCATGCATGTCTTTGGGAGGAAGCTGGAATTCCAGAAGCAAACCCACACAGACTCACTCTTCTTAACTTCTTGCTGTTAAGCAACAGTGCTAACCACTGCATCACTGGGGGCTAGTCACTGCATTACCATCAGAGGGTAGAGTGGGTTGTCTGCCAAGTGGAAGGTTGACCGATTGATTCCCTGCCTGTCCAGTATGAACAAGATACTGAACCCCAAGTTGAGTGTGAATCTATGCACAAACGTTAGGCAAGGTATAGAAAAGCTTAGGTATAGGAGGAAAAAGTGCATGTGTGAATGGCTTGCACTAAAGAGTGCTCATTTAAAGTGGAAAAATACTAAGTGCCAGTCCATTCACCACTTTGACACCCACCAAATATCCAACTTCAGCTGCAAAATGATCATGTTTGCAGCCTGGTATAAAAGATGATTTTAGCCTGAATAGCTATTTCCACTTGAGAGTTAAAAGGCACCCATTTCGATTTTGTTGAGGCTTTAAGTTAGTTATATAATCTCTAAGACTGACAGGTGTGCAAAAAGTAGCTACGACTGCCTCATAGGCTTCATTTTTGCTACTTTAACTTGCTGAATTGGACCAATATACCATGTCAGTGAGGTTATGGTGAGAGAAATTCTAGTATTTTATTAGTCAGTTACTTAGCGCTAAATAGTAATCTGTGTTTGTGTGCTACACCCTTAAACTTTTAGGATGCATTTTGCTAAACAAGTTATCTGTTGTTTACCGATAAATTGACATGTTACCATCTTGTCCTATTATGGTCACTACTGGCTCTAAAAAATAAAATAAAATAAAAATATCACCATGCTAAAATGCATTTTTTACATCACCAAGAGGTGATTTCACAATGGCTATTTCCATCATCTTAATACAGTCTATGGGCTTTCTGTGTATACCTGTTTTAAGGGAGGGGAGGTCCTAGGGCAGAGCTGTGCTGCCAGATACAGTATAGGTTACTGCAGATGGGGGAAAAAACCCTTATAATTCATTAATTTATTATTATTATTGTTTTTACATATAATATAAAGACTAGCTCATATTCAACAACTTCCACTGAGAGACAGGCGCACAGCCACAGCAGCACTCTGAAAGGAAAGCAAAGTGTTTGTCTAAGATAAAATTTCATCACCTCCAGCAGCTGGAGGCAAAAAGGGCCTTGTGTAATACAGAAAGAAAAAAACAACAACACTGTGATTGAGTTATCTCGGCTTCTGTCATTGCCAGCTGTAAAAGCTGTAAGCATTATAAATGAAGAACACGCAGTGCAAACTGCGCGGAAGTGGTCCCGCAGTCAGAGAGCAGGTTATAATTCAG